AGRTAGGCCAAACAGAAGAGGATCATTACCAATAAATCACACCACTCTTCAAAACTCTTACCTATCTGAGCAAATAAAAGGTACTCAACACTCAGTGTAACCTATAGAGCAACACAACTCTCCCTAAAGCAGATTCCTGGTGACAGGTTGCATGAAGTAYTCCCTATTATCCATCAAGTAAGCAAAGGAACTCAAAATGTCTTAAGTGCATGACCAATTTCTATGAGAAGTAATATTAAAAAGTAATTATAAAAAAATATAAATGTGGCTTTATCTCTGAAGCATTTTTTTCTGCAAACTCAAAATTAGTAAATTCTGTAAGAACTCTAAAAAAAAAGTTATTCAAATGCAAGGGCTGTGTATGGGGAAAACATGTATAATTAAGAACTGAACCCAGATACCTCACAAATGTAAGTTACTGTTTTGTACTTGGCATAATTTTTCCACTGTGATCCTGCTGTACTTTTTTTTTTCCTAGAAGATAGCCATAAGCTTTTTCTGACCTTTACTGGTCTTTCACTTCTTTTCCAGTGAAAACAGACTTGGATTTAGTCGAGCCTCACTTAAAAAAATTGAAGTCATCTTCTTCGAAAGTGTCTGAATATTAGATTAATTGTCAGTGGTTTAAGTGAGCCCTTTTAAAACCAGTACTAGATATCATAAAGCAGCAAATATTGTTCAGTATTCATCTATTTATCAGCTAATAAGACTTTTCTTTGTATTTTCAATGCCATATTTCCTTTCATCAGCTTTTGTTAACACTCTAAATTAAAAAAAAAACAAACAAAACAACAAAACCAAATTAAACCTCAACCCAAAAGTGTCGTAAATTTCACTGGGAAATTTCCATGGAGAAGAAATGATCAACCTGATCAATCAAATATTAACTACTAGAAGAAAAAACTGCTGAAAGGATTAGTGGTGAGACTGGGGATTAATAAAACTAAAAGATAAGACTTTTAAATATATCTTTTATTTGCTTCATTATCGTCACAGTGAAAGTCTCAAACAACTCTAATCAGAATTAGAAAAACACAGCACTTCTGTACAGCTAAATTTAACCAAACATTTAAATCCAAAAGATTTTCCTTACAATTCTATAGTAGTGAAGTAGGAAGGTGTTATTTAAAAGGTTTTGGGTTTTTTTTTGTTGTTGTTTTTTTTTTTTGTTGGTTTTTTTTTTACAGCTTCTATTGCTATGATTTCTGAGAGGTATAATCAGAAAATCTGGATTATTTTTCACTGAGGTGGACAGGGGACAGTCACTTCATATTTTATTAACTGAGGAAAACTTATTTGCAGTGTGTTTATCTCATTTCATAAACATCCTCTTCACAGCAGCAGTCCAAACTATTTAATTGCAACTGGCTATGTTCCTCTATTTTACTTTTCTCTTCAGTAAAAAATGGAAGACATGGTAATGATTATTGTCATGAGAGTAAGCACTGTGTACCTCTAAATGAGATATTTTTTGTATTTATTACATTAATCCTTTTATAAATTTACATTACCAAATGGTACACTGTGAACTGGAAGGCAATTCAAAGTTACTTTGCTTTCATACTCTGAGAAAATAAAGGATTTTCAGATCAAGAGTTGGCAGAGGTAATCAGTATCACACGTGAAATCATTGTAATAGAAAAGATATTGAGCTGAAATCCTGAAATTTATCTTTTTAAAAGTGAGCTAGACAGAAACTACAGAATAAAATAAACCTTAAGAATGATCAGTACTGTGTTTATACTGAAATGGAAGACACTGCAGGAGTATTCAAAAAAATGGTAGTATTGAATCTTTGATATATAGGGCTTCCATTCAATCTCAATTCAATGTTCTGGTCATACATTCCCCTAAAGTATTCATCAGAATGACTTTCACTCTCAGAACAAGGGTTTCCACCTCCCTCTCTTGAATTCTCTTCCCTTTTTACCTTTTAGTGCTTGGGATTGAGTCCTATCACTCTGTCATTCTGAAGCAAGAACTACCACAGACATTAAAGACGTAGCGTACTACTGGTCCCACGAAGACCTGAGCACTTCTATTTTTTTCTTTTAAAAAAACTTGATGATGAAGTAGACAGTGTCTTTTTTAAAGCAAAACAGTTTAATTTAGCAGATGAAACAAAGACATCAAGATATTCAGAAAAATTTAAGTGCCTGTTTAGCTTCATCTTACCAACTAAACAACATACATTATCAAAACTACATTCAGAGTCCTAAAATTATACAAACACACAGATAATAAAAATTTACTCTGGTCTCACTTATCACTTTTAGACAAAT